CAAAACTAAAATTTCTGAGTCTACACTGTATTACCACTAGGAAAATTAAAAAATACTGAGACATGTAAAAGCAGCTGACGACAGTACAATGACGTGTTAATAAGTTCAACTATTGCAACGCAACGATCGATTCGTCCTTATGTAAAACGTTCCTGTTTAATAGTTGTTAGCAATTTTTAAAACTAGAAACTAGAGAAAATGGACAAACAACATGCGCGGCAGCTAGAGAGACTGAAAAAATGGATAAACCCACTCAATGAGAAATGGATGCATGCGAAAGCTCAAGTTTTACTGTATTAGATGAGTGAAAATGTACCTGTTCAATATTGAAGGATCGTGGTATATAGTCAACTAAATGATACAAATTCCAAAACGAGAGACATTCTCAATGAAACAATCCATAAGGCTATCGACAAAATTATAACATATTGTATCACACTTTGTGTTTGTCGCTGAACACAAATATGGTATCAGGATTTTATATTAATGCATACTTGTTTTCACATATACAACTCAAAAATGAAGAGTGATCCAACAATCGTGAATGTAGTGTGCACATTTGTGAAAGAAAGCTAATACACTGTATCAAGCGCTTGAGTTTCGATTCCTACACAACAATGTGCAGTTGTTCACGAGCTTTCGCATTGTATCTTTTGACTTTTATTAGATGCATATCTTAATTCATTTTTAGGATCTTGAAAGCTAAAATATGACCATTTTGATTCCTTTGTAAATTAAAGAAAAAGCTTTTGAAAATCGGAAAATGACATCTGAGTGTCGAAAACGTGTTCCTCTATTGTATTGTACAAGGACCGAACGTAGCGGTACAATATGACTGACGTGAGGTGCAATAAAATAAATCATTGCAGCATTATGGCGAATTACTCTATTTTTAGCATTTTTTGAGTATTTTTCAAACGCTTAACCGAAGATTATCTAAGGTTCAGAGATAGGAAGCTGAGAAAGTCCTAAAAATGTGTATTGTAACGCTCAAAACAATCTTCAATCTCTTCTAAAATTGTTTAGTTATTTGCAGTAGGTAGTAGTTTTCTTTTCATCTGCTTCGACACATGTCTAGTAGTTATTTGATGTAGCATTACATGAAAGTAACTATACGATATTGTTTGGTGACTACTTGGCCTCTTTGTTTTCATTTTTTTTGCAGACATCGTGATAATATTCCTTAATTTCCATGAGTGTTATTGCCATTTTCTAAAAGTATTTAAAAGCTGTTTTATTAATCACAAAGGTTTCTCATACACAGTTACTAGTTTGAAGTCTCCCTTTGATCTAGTTGCGTCATGTAGTTTCTTTTTGCCTTTTTCAGAAAAACTACAGCCATTGACCCACAGTTCCTTCATTGACCGATTGTATTTCATCATGTTCACTAGAGAATCGACACTTGAGTCACTCACCAATTCGTTTCTGTCAAGAGTTAGTGCTTCAAGGCTCGTGTTTGGATGAGCGAGTGCATTAGCCAACATTTGCACACCTTGGTCCCCTATTTTATTCATGGCTAATCCTAGTGTGGTTAGCGTTCTGTTTCTTTTTAAAATTTCAACGAGATGAGATACACCTGCATTTGTAATGCCATTCGACGCAAGACCAAGTTTCTTAAGAGTCTTATTGACCAAGAGTGCTTGTGATAAGTAACCCAAACCTACATCAGAGACATGATTGTTGTACAGCCACAGTTCGTGCAATGTTGTGTTATTGTACAATGCATTGGCCAGAATTGAAGCACCTTTTGATGTGATCTCATTGTATTCTAAAGAAAGGCTTCTACATCGTTTGTCGATAATTGCCTGTTGGACTACAATCTCTATATCTTGATCTGTTAATTTCTGTTTGTTTAAATTCACTGCTGAACAAGGCTGACATTGGTCGATAAGTGCTTCGAGTGTTGGATTGTGATAGGCGTACCGTTCTGAAATAACCGTAGACATGAATAGACAGGATTCAATCGTTTATATCTGCTAGATATGGAGATTACGAAAAGTATGTGAGACATGAGAGAAACACATGTTGAATATCACAAGTCTTGTCAAGAGAATTTCCTTAGTTAAAACGAACTATAGAAAATCATTTTTGTGCCAGACAAGAGCGATTCCATAGTGAAGCTTTTTTTCTTTAAGAAGGCTAGACTAAATATCTGATAAATGACGTTATCAATCAGTAGAATATTCTTCTCATATATGCGATACGAAGTTAAGCCTCCGTTTCGATCTCAGTCGTTGAAACTGCTATCAAAATATGAAAAGTGACCGGGACTACAGGAAAGAAATATTGTCCCAACTAGAACTATAGATGATATTTAAATATTCTATGGTTTTAAGTGAACTTTCGTTTAAATTCTATCAATCAAAACATAATCCAAGAGATGTGACCCAAAAAGTGTTAGTAATCGAGCAAACGAATCAAAAACAAGTATTGAAGAATTCGTTTAGTTGTAGTATGAATGAATCCTGGAATAGCTTTCTCTGGACCGAGACTATGACCAAGACTGGTAGAAAAAGAATATTCAGATCAGACCGTAATCAGAATAAAAAAAACACAATCCAACATCTGTCTAGTCTAGAACAATTATTTGCATTGTCCTGTACTATGTGATGAAGATGGTTTTGAAAGACAAAGAATCTCAAGTTTTGGAGATCTTAAATTTTAACAGACAGTACTTTTGAAAACAGAACGGTACATGAATATTTGCTAATTATTTACTGCGTTGAGAACATGCTTTTGCTGCTATTGTTTAAGAGGAATAGTCATTGTTTCGGCGGCTGATATATTGTGACGAATTTTGTGTTTTGAGCCTAGCCATCTTTTTTCGAGTCAATTATGAACTCTGAAAACTCAGTCAGTCGAGTTCGAGAAAAAAATCGATCTAGTAATTGGAACTCTGCACATATCCGAACGTGAGTTCATTTTATACAGTCACTTAGAATTAATGCTGTTTGTGTACTGTTTTTTTTTCAGTTTAATACTGACTTTGTTTCATTTTTGGGTTATCGGTAAGCTAATTTTGAAAAGCAAATACAACAAAGCATTGACTAGTTCATTTAAGAATTATGTTCTTCATCCTTGAATCGTTCACGTGACTTGAAAACGCAAGATTACTCGTGTACTCATAATCCTAAATAATAGTGGAGGAGAAAAATAACCACGTGTCTATATGAGGCTATCGCACTTATTAACACAACAATCCATGTTTCGGAAAAGCATACTTTTTGCTGGATTTGTGTGATTCATGTCTATTACTTCGAAATAAATACTGTCATCTGCAGAAGCAGATTTCTCCATTGTCTCTTCTCTCTTAATGGATAAGAAAGTTCATCGGAAAATTGGCAACTTCTGATAAAAGCCAAATCTCTTATGGACTCGGCCACATCCACATCAAGAGTGAATCGATATATTGAATTAAATAGCAAACATTACATACTTTTGACTGAGGCATCGGCTACTGGAACGGCTGCAGGCTCTATCGAATGATGGGCGGGTATGGTCGAGCTGCTGTCATTTGGCTGAGCTGTTGTTGGAGAACACTTTGGTCTAAATTTTAAAGTGAATTATCAGTTATGTTTGCTCATCACAAAGTGACTAATCAATTATTTTTTAAACGAACAGTTTTTATATTGTAGTCCAGGCTGCAAGTAACCTTTAAAATGCCAGATGGGAGTGCGGAGAGACAAATTTACACAACGGTAGCATAAAGGGTATAGGTAGGTGTAATAGAATGAGATTACAGTTGTACTCGAGGTGATAAAGTAACATGAACATCACACCTGCATCTAAATAGCCTTATTCCACACCCTACAACCGCCAACAGTCACTTACTCATCCAAATGAATTCTGTTGAAATAGTGGATGTAATAGCTATAAGTGTATGCCTGACTATTTTCTCACTACCAGAAAGAGCTTGTTTTTGACGAGTAAAACAAATGGTCATGTGGTACGCAGGAGTTCTCAGTAGCATAAAATGGCCATAAGCTGAGTTCAACGCAAGACATGTGAATTGTTTGTCGTCTGTTTAACAGTATTGATTCTACTACAATTACTGAATCCGTCAGAAAGAATGATGCACTCGTGTGCTTTGTACAAGAACATCAAACACACTGAAAATGATGATGCCCTAAGGTGAAGAAAGGTTTGTTAAGATTTTTCGTAGGTCAGCGACTACAAAAATAAAATGATAGAAGCGTTTGGCAGTTCTTGTCAAACTCTATCCATAGAGCATAATATGAGAATTTCTATTTTTCTGGTTATTACGTAAAACAGTAGTCTTTTTTTTCTAAATTTTCAAAAAATTAGATTTTTTCTATTTGCGATTTTGAAGCGCGATATATAGATAAGCTGAAAGAGCATCTCTCTTCGTTTCATTTGCGAACGAATATCAGATTTCAGCTATTTTTAGTAGAGCTTTTAATATTCACTTTGATGGCAATGAACTTTTAGCTGCATGGTGAAAGAAATATTAGTAACCTTCATAGAACTTGTAGAAAATCCGGTCGATATCTCCTAAGTTGAACTTCAATTCTTCATAACGAAAGCCGTGCGAGATAATTATGAAGTACAAAATATGACAGTCTATCTAACGCATCTGTTTTTACGCATTTTCTTTTTGTCTATCAATAGTTATCTTCACAGTACTATTAGTCAGTTTGAAATGAAAAGACAATAATCATTGCTCAAATATTCTAACCTTATTGGTTAAGCTCAATATATCTTGTTCTATGTATGCATCTACTGTAATAGTTGACATAACAACGTAAGTAAGTGCAGATGAAACGGAGGATTCTGAAAGAAAATTTTCAAACATTAGAGGAAAACTCTTCTCTTGATATGTGTGCCCCTGATTGTATTATCTCTGCATATTATACCTTCTATACAAGTTCAGATCCGGAGATTCACATTTCAGTGTCACTACGATACAGTTTCTTATATAAAAATTAACATCTCGTTTCTCTGATAAATCTTCATGTGGTCCAGTTATTGTCATAAAATACTCACATCACCACTATCTTCGTTGTAGCAGGTGAAATAGTTATAATCTGCTCGATGAGCTGTTGAGCAGTCGGTCGCTTGCTCGGCTCTTGACTCCATGCATTCGAGATGATTGATGCAAAAGTAGGCGGAACATCATTTGGAATTTCAAGCCGTTCTCCTGCTTTGACACCTTGGCTAATAGTTGCTTCGTCTAACTCGTCATAGGGCACAAACCCAGTAGCTAATTCCCAAAAGACGATACCTAAGCTATAGATATCACTCGCCTTCGACGGTTTACCAAATTTTAGCAATTCAGGTGCTTTCCATTGAAGCGTGCCTGCTCCTACTAGTTGTTTATTACTTTCAGTAGTCTGTCGACTTGTTTCTTGCCGAATTTTGGCCAAACCAAAATCACTGATCTTGACGATATAGCCATGAGGTGCATAGTCCATGAGAAAATTGAGCGATTTTATATCACGATGGAGAATCGACATCGTATGTAGATAATTAACACCTTTTGTCATCTGAAGTGCGATTGACCAACGGTCGGCCCATGATAGACTATGCTCTTTCTTTTGTAACACGTCAAATAGTGATCCCAGTGACATATACTCAACAACAAGCGCGTAATAATTTGGCTCGATACATGCACCAAAGATATTGAGCACATGGTCATAACGAATCTTGTACATGGCGGCGATTTCATCCAGGATTTTTTGCCTCATACTATCCGTCAAATATGTAATACGAATTGTTTTGATAGCCACACGATGACGTTGACTGAGCCATGTTCCTCGATAGACATCAGCAAATCCTCCTTGACCAATCAGCTCTTCACTCTCCAGGTCATGACCTGGAATATGAAGAAAGAGTTTGGCCTCTTCCTCTATTTTTTTTGCTTCAACAGGGTTCTGAGCCTTAAGCACATCTTGCTCTAGATGAAATCTGAATGAATCAAATCTTCTTTTGAATTCATTTTTCATATCCTTTTTTTGATTAAGTAATTCTTGCTGCTGTTTGGCCATTGCATGGGCAATCTCATCAAATTTCGACGATATTTCGGCAAGATCAGCTTGTCGATCGGTCATATCTTGATGCTGATCAAATATCGAAGTGAAATTCAGAGCTAAATTGAGATCGGCCGCACTATGTGAAAGTTGCATGTTGAGCATTTCAAAGTATTCTTGATGATCAGCATTGTTCAAAAACCGGTCGAAAACGGAGGAATCGATGAATTTTTTTACAAAACTGATGCTTTTCTCCAATATTTCAACCAGGTTTTGCAAAGCTTTTTCCATTGCTGTTCCATTAAAGTCTGTAACCGAATCGTCTTCAAGAATGGCGATAATAGATTCAACTCGTTTGCTCAAACCTATGAATGAAATTAGAACGCATTTCTATCATATTGAAAGAGAAAACCATAAAAACTCATGAAAAACTGAGAGTTTAAAGAAAACAGTGATCTTTTCATCGGTTCTGAATGTGACCGAGGGAGCGATTTATTTCTATTCGTATTATTTTTGAGAATGTTCAGTGTTTATTATTGTTTTCAAGTAAATTTGCAAACATTTCTGAAATCCGATGATAGATTTTGAATATTTCAAAAACTTATGCGTATGGTCCTATAAGAAGCCCAACTGTGCAATTCACAAACTTTGGTTGTTATAAATTTATGCTATATTATCACAGTGATTAAAATATTTTATTTTAAACAAAATCAAATAATTGAATCAATCAAAACTATAACAATTTTTCAGTTGATACGTTTGCTGTGAAATTTTATCATTTAGAAAATGTTTGCTTTTAGAATTACTGTTCTATCAATCTATTAGATTCATTTAACATCTTTATAATGCATGAACTTATTTATATTGTCAGATACATCTTCAATACATAACTTCTTTTTTTCTAATGACAATATAAACGATGCATGCCATAAAAAAAAACAGCAAATCTCATATTACTCCTTCGTTAGACAAAGCTCAACATATAATGTCAAAATTCATCGAGAGAAAGCATGATGTGCACCTGAGCTCAGTGAACGATTAAATCAATGTGTACAATAAGCTATTACCTCCTTTTCTTCTGTTGCTAGGGCCTGGTGAAGAAGTGGTATAAAAACCTTGATTTAAGCTGACAATTCATGTTTTCTTCTAAAGCATACGTAAGTTCTACAAAAATGCCGAGAGTAAGTTTTTTTTTTTTGGCAATACTTGCGGCAAACACTCATAACAATTTTCGTTTTGTCCAGTCTAGTCAAGTCCATGTTACATGATCTCTGAAAGTTTGGGGATCTCTAATGAAAGCTATTTCAACACATAATTGAAAAAGAGGTGGTTTGATTTCGAGTCTGTTTAGTATTAGACAGAGCTATGAGCAATCTTTCGAAAACACTTACGTTGACATTGGTTTTTGTTGGCTTTGACTTGCTTGGTGATTTCATGCAAGGTCTTGGCCAAATTAAAAATGGTTGGTAAAGCTTTAGTGGGATCCATGCTAATAATTGATCTAAAATATCTTTCTTTTGTCACGTCTACAATGGAAAAATGAAAAGCTTTAAGAGCATCTTAATTATGAGTAATCAACAACTTTTCTCCCTCTTCACAAATGGCGGATATGGATGCATGTTTAGATGGGTATGATTATAGCATATAACGATCTATTCGATTCCAATCTGAATTTCAAGAAAAAAGAACAGCACTCGATTTCAAATTGAAACGGAGCGAGGAGAATTCAGAATTATCGATTATAATATACAGCAATTTAAGTAATACAAAAGCCTCTATTTAGCCTCCTAGTTCCACCATCCAAAAGAAACGGATGTATAGTAATACCCGGTTTACATAGGGCAATCTAAGAGTAGTGGTAGATATATTGTAATTTATTTTAAAAAACTGAAAAATAATTTTCTATCTGTATACTCTAATAGTAAAAACAATCCTCTATTCTTTTATTACATTTGGTTATTCTTCAATTAATAGCATAATAATAAAATTCCAATAGACTCTATTTGGTTATGATATATGACGGTTACATTAGTTCTTATTGTCTTCGATATATATTCACCTTTTTCTCGTCTCTACTAGTCGTGCTTTATTTTCAACCTCTTATCAACTTTTGCGGATCTATTGAAAACATCTTTCAGTTGTCCTAACGGAAGGAGCTTCCTTATCCCAAACCGAACATAATTCATCATGCATAACTATTGCTTGAATATTAAGTACAATGCACACTTTAATATACAAGTGAAAATTTCTTTTATTCATCTAAAACAAAGATAAATAACGTCAAGGTTTCACTTAACTTCACTTCTTTAACTTTCTTGCAAACAGTCTACTAAGCTACTAATTGAAACAAAATAAAGAGGACATGCGTCTTTTCATACGTATGTGCATACGGTTAGACATTAAAATGAATGAGAAGAAGATAATACATATCGTAGACACTATGAACTAATGTAACCGTCAAACATCATAGCTGAACAGTTCTTACTGAAATTTTATTATTAAGATATTAATCAAAGCATGATCAAATATCATAGAAAAATAGGATATTGTTTTGACTTTCAGACTAAAGGGTGTAACATAAGTCTGATTCCTTTTTTTAATAAAATTATTGGAAAAGAGAATCACAACTTATGTTACACCCTTTATATAGATAGAAAAATATCTGAAGCTGGTAATAAGGAATTACAATACCTTTGCCACCATTTTTTGATTACTCTAAGTAGTTTTACTTCAGCTTGCTTTTATGCAATATTGAAAAATGCAGTCGATCAAACAACATACAACTACGTCAGTGGCAATGAAATGTGTGTTTGACTCATTCTGTTCTTTTTCTTAAGAAAAAATATACAAATGTCTATCGTTATAATATATGCTTTAATTGTCAATCAAACCCGACGAGCAGCAAATGAAGGCTAACAACCCACATTATGCTTCGCCATAAGGTAGCAAATAAAAGAAAAACTGGCGTAAAAATTTCGAATCCTGTCGAGTTACTCATCCTCCACTCGTCTCCCATTAGCAAAGAACAGAACAACAGTCGTTTTTTTCTCGTCTTTTTTCATATTTCGAATCGTTTACAACATTAATACGTCCAATTTGTACATGATTCATCGTGAATAACCAGATCATTCACGATGGGGAGTGTTGGTGTGAGTGTATATGATTCAAATAAAAACAGATAGGTCTATCTCTTGACGAAGAAGACAAATTTAATCTACTAGTCTCAACTCTTGCTTGTCAATAATCGATCAAGCCGATATAATTCCAAGCATAGACAATATGTTTAATAAAATACTTATTTTACGGCTAGACATGTGTATCTTCAATAACAAACAAAAGATGATTATTTTCATTCATTAACCCTTTGAGTCCTGACTTTTTTTTGCGAAAATTCAGGTTTTCATACGAAATCTTTAAATATGATGTTTATTTATTTTTTGAAAGACATTCCATTTCTGTGTCAAGGAAATATGAGTAGTTCATTTTCGTATAATTGTCTTCAAGACAATCAATAATACATGGGATGACTTATACTACCTATAGGTAGAACAACGAAAGGGAACGTATAATGGTTATAGCGACTACAGATTCCTAGGATGATTTCACGACCTTAGTCTATCATCTAACAGATAAAATATTTTTCTAAATAATCAAACAATAGGCTAGTGATATGTTTGTTCTATAACAGCATCTATACGTATTTATATAGAGTCGGTATTCTACCTCGAATAGCAAGACGTATATATATGTCGTCGAAAATCAAAGGATTAAGTCGATAACACAAGCAGTTAGCAATCTGCACATGATTTCCGCAAAAAAAATATATCAAAATGATCTGTAATTCCGATGATATTTTGGTTTCAACATGTGTTTTAGATAGAGAAACTTGAGATCTATAGTTCAAGAAAAAATTTGAATGATTACTTTCTCACATCCTAGTGTTGAGCAAAATAAAATAGTGTATCTGTTCAGTCAAGTAATATTGAATTTTGTTGATCTTTAAGCAAATCTTCTTACTTGTTATCAAAATTTGCTTAGAATGACAAATCATTTTTACACATTTTTTTTGAATATTTTACGAAAATCATTGGCTTCAAAATGATTTTGTTTCATACATTATACGAGAAAAAGACATTCTCATATTTTCTCTATCGATTGCTGAAAATCGTGAACCACTAGCTGTCTTCATTTTCGACTTCCGTGCTGATAGTAGTTTGTGTTCATTTAACGTTTGATTTTATATTACAATGACAATTAGAGACTATGTTGAAGATCAAGAAAAACACGTTTATGATTTATCTAGTAATCAAATTACCTAGTGAACTCGATAAATTGCAGTCAATTAAAAGTTAAATTGAATGCTTAACCTTTTCTTAAAATTCAAGAGTTCGATTGGTGTTACAGAAAGAAAACTTGTACTTCTCCGAATAAACTTCTTCTGTCAA